TGCGCGCTGTCTCGGCCGTGGCCACCTCGCCGCGGAAGACTGAGTTCGGGCCTCCGTTTGGCCCTGCGGCCGCGCCCCGCGCCCGCCGATATCCGCTCATTGCTTGCGACGTTTGGGGGGGTGCCAGCTCGGGGTGCTCCCCCATGTCAATGGGGTGAGATCGCGCGCCAAGACATTGGTGAATGTCTCGCGGGAGATCATTAGCGCGCGGGGGCTGGGCGGGGGGGGGGGGGGGGGGGGGGGGGCAGCGGCGGCGCGGCCTGGCCGACCCAGAGGAACGACTGCGCGCACAACCAGAAGCTGTGTCGCGACAGGGTCCATTCTGTGGATTGCGGCCCCGCGCATCAACGTTTTCCGTCTCGGCAAAACAACGCCTCGTTCGCCGCCAGTTTCGTCGCTGCCCCCGCCGCGGGTGATCAGCCAGCGCGTGCGAAGGAATTCGCGTCTTCGAGGATTGCCGAGCTCACGATCGACCGCCGCGTGCCCCATGCTCAGGCAGCCGCCCTGCCAGCGTCCAACGTGGTCTCCGCGGGGACGGCCCACAACAATAAGATGGTTGCAAGGGGGGCCCTGGATTCCGACGCGCCCGTCGCGCCGCCAGTCACCGCGGGCGCCGTCGGGGCGGCGCCGCTGGGGCACTCGCGTGGGCAGGCGGTCGCGGACGCGCCCGGCGACGAGATGGCCGCTGGGAAGGAGGGGCGACGGGGCGCCGACATGGCCGCAGCCAGAGAAGTTCGCCTCATCGCCACGTTTGAACCTAAAGCCAGGGGCGTCGATGATGAGCAGAGCGGCGCCGTAGGGCCCACGGCGCTCACGCTCCTCGGTGACTTCGATTTGGCCGCGCTGCGCTCGCTAGCCGCCGAAGTCGAATCCGTGCCGGGGCCCCGTTGGGGCGACGCCCCTCGCTTGGCGGGCGACGCGGGCAGCGGCCGCGTCCTGGGGGCGCGCCAGGAGGCCGCCCGCAGGTCCCGCGCGCGCCTCGCTCGACGAGGCCAACAGGAAAGGGAAATGCCAGCAGGAACTTCAGCAAGAGTGTCAGGCGCCGCCAGACGCGGAGGCCACCGCAGGCAGCTCGGGCACGACTCCACGCCGGCTGCTACCCCGCCGCTGCCCCACCGGGGCATTTAGATTTTTGCGCATCTGGACATGGGCGCGGCCCACTCCACGGCGGTTCGGAGACGGCGCGAACCCGCATCATGAGCGGGAGAAGCTGCTGATGCTCGATCAGTCGATGCGATGCCTGCTCGTCTGCGCGAGCTCCGTTAGCAGGCGATTCCGCCGGGGCGGCTTGTTCACGGCGCTTGCCGCGCCACCGACAGAACCCTCGGCGCCCTATTCGCATTGCTTGCGCATTATGCTTTCTGCCAGCAGCGCGCTCGAGCGCGGCGATTGCGCCCCTGCTCGCGTTTTTGTGTTTTTATTATTTTGTTGGTTGTTTCTTCTTATTAGTATGTTTCTTATTATTATTATTCTTCTTCTTCTTCTTCTTATTTTTCTGCTTTCCGATTGGGGGGGGGCGGGGGCCCCCCCCCCCCCCCCCCCCATGCGCCTTAGGGCTGGCTGCATCGGCGCACGCACAGCAGAATGGTGGAATAACAGGCGGGCGCGGTAGGATCTAGTAGAGGCTCATAGAAGCTTATAGAAGCTCATCGGCGGACCGCACGAATAAAATTACATTCAGGCCGATGACATCTAAGCTCACGCGGAGCACCGCGGCAGCTGGCCAAGTAGCAGTTCGCAGGACTGGTGGTCAGGGAGTTGGACATGGCGCCAGGGATTCCTGGGATTCCTGGGATGCGGGAAGGGGCTCCAGGCTCCAGGTGGCGGCGAGATCAGGGCGCCGCAGTCGCCGCTGATACGCCGCCCGCAGCTGAAATTGCGAAACCGCGACAGGCGGCCGTGGACACTTGGGCTCCGTCGAGTCCGTTTGCGACGGCGTCAACCGTGGAGTACCGTGGACGGGCTTCGTCAACCGTGGAATACCATCACCATCTCCATGGCGCCCTCAACTATTGGACGCAGCCTCTGTGAAGCCGCAGTTGTGGACTCGCAGAAAACAAAAGCGCCATCATCGCTATCGTATGTCAACATTCGCGCTGTTTAAAGCAGTCGCCAGCGTCTGTTTTAATCCACGCAGGCGCGGTTTAGAACAGTCGCTGGCGACTGCTTTCGCTAAGTTGCTAAGTTGCGCTATTACTGCTTCGGGATCAACCCCGCCAGCCTTGCCGGGATACCCCAAACCTCCCAAACTCGCGGCTCGCCCTGAGTCTGCTGCCTCTGCCCGCCCGGGGTGGACGGACACCCGGTCCTCCCCTGCGTCGCCTTCCCCAGGGTCTGCTCTTGTCCCTGGCGTTGGCTCTCGCCGATTCCTTCGCAGGTGCGCGGCTTCCTCTCGCAGGTTCCCCGCATCTGCAGCCTCTGGGCCGCCCTGGCGCTGCCTTCCCCCTGCCCCCCGCTCGCGGAGGCGCTGCCGTCGCTTCCGCGCCCCTCGGCCCCACCCTTGTCGCTGTTTGGCGATCCGGGGCTTACTCCGTTGAGCGCCTGCATGTCGCTGTTCGTCGTCCTCATCGGTTGCGTCGCGGCCGCCATCGGGCACGTGGACTTCATGAATTTCGCAATTTTGGTGACGCGCCTCGACCAGTGGTTCTTCCTGGCCCACCGCGTCTCCTGAGCCCCGCAGCGGGGCTCGCTCCTGTGTGTTCCTTTTTCGCTTCTTCCCCGCCTCGCCTCGCGTTCCTCTTGCTGTCGTTCCCGCCCCGCGCCGTGGAATGTAGGCCGTTGCTTGTTGGCCGCCATTCTCGACGGCGCCTGGCACCCCTGCGCGCTCGAGAATACAAAAATAACATCACCAGCCTATCCAGAACCGACGCCCAGGCGAGTTTCCCTGATCAGGGATGTGGAGGGGCACGCAGAGGAAGCGTGGGCGGGGAAGGCCGACATATCCCAAGCGGGGAAGTCCTCCTGGGGTCTAGAGGACCAATTGGGGAGTCATGAGAGCTTCTTGGAGTCCTCTTGGGGGGTCTTGAGGACGGCGATCTTGGGGGCCTCTTAGACTGTATTGGGTGCCTCGGGGGAGCCTTCTTGGAGGTCATGTGGGGACCTCTTGGGGGTTTCTTGGGGCCTCCTTGTCGCCTTTCGGCCCCCCCAGAGGGGTTAGAAGAGGAAATTCTCTGAACCACTCACGCCCTAAAGGGCTGGTGGAGTTAGCCTCTTTCGGGGGGGGCATTCGGACGTCGTGGGGCACGATGAAAAAACAAGGGGCATTGTGCAGCTGGCCTTGGGCAGCCTTGGGCCATCTTGTGGCCATCTCCGGTTGTTGGGGGCTGTTGGGGGCGCTAGGAAGGACCAGGTATTGGGGGGGTGCCATCCAACACGGGTCTGCGAGTAAGGGGATCGCTTCCGTGATCGTGAAATAAGTTCGTGCGCAACAAAATTGGTGCCGAGGCCACGGCGGCGGGCATCGGAAAGCACAGGGGTCAACGAGCTATGGTCCTCTACGTTAGTGCTTCGTGGGGAACCACCGCTCAATCCCCCTTATGGAGGATTCATCTTGCTTGTTAGACTGCCCGTCAACTGTTGATCCCAACCCCTCGATGCGCACATGTGTGTGTTATTCCTTTCCTCTCCTGGTGGAGGGTCAGGGGAGGCGTTGGTGCTCCTGCGCCCTCTTCAAGCCCTCTTGGTGTATCCTGTGCTTCCCTCTCTAGGAGCCCTGCCACCCAAGTGTAAGTGCGATATTCGTACGTGCTGCAGCTCTCCTGGACCATCCGGGACCCATCATAGGAAATGAAAGAGGGTGTTGGAGGCAATTTGGTGGTATCCACGCAGCGAAGCAATGAAGCATTGAAGAAGATGCCCATGTTGGAATGTGCTAAACATCTTGTCTGTAACATTCCTACAGATGGCTTCTGAAGTCGGATGCCCACATTCATTCCCGTATGTTCTCCCGTCTGGTCTGTTGCGCGCGCAGTGCAGCATGGCCCTGAGGCGTTCGACCTACCTGCGCGTCCGTTGGGCCCGCGACAGAAAAAATGCGCAGCGCAATCTAATAACACAATGTTGTCTCTGCTGCTTGGTAATGCTGTTTAGGGTCGTCTTCCGCCAGGGTGCATTGTTTCACTTGCGTCTCAGAAGCCTGCTGGATGGTCCATGGAGCCGTGTTGGGTTCTGCGTGGGGCCGTCTGGAGCCGTCTTGGGGTATTGTCGGCTTGGAGGTATTTTCGGCCGTACTGGAGCCTTCTGGAGTCTTTCGTTAACAACCTTCACTACGTATGATTGTTTGGTATTTTCACGCAGCCATCCTGAAGGCGATCGTGGAACGTCCGGAGCCTCCAAGGGCACCCGCAGGATGCTGGCGATTTTCCACGGATGTCGTTGGGATGAGGCGTGACCCCTTGAGGGTGGTGTCCATGGTTGGACTGCGACGCAGGAGCACGCCAGAGGCTGGTGCTTCCACGCCGCCTCTCGAACAGCGTCTGCAATATCTCACGTCTCGATGAGGTGCTGTTGATAAGGGAGTATGGCGTAACGTCCTCCCCTTGACCCCTCCCTCCTAATCATCCCAGCTGGCCGCGATCCTCCGATCTATTGCCTCACCATCCGTGATGTCCTCAAGACTGCCCGAGATCGTCCCATGACGGCCCACGATAGCCCCAGGATCGCCCAGGAGCGTCCCAAGGTCTCTCAAGAGATTTCGAATATTGCCCAACATGTCCTGCTTCAGGAGGCTTCCAACCGCTCCAAGAGGGCCCCCAGGCGGTCAAATCCATCGAAGAGCATGCAGTTGTTTGGTGTCAGCCCGAGGTGGCCCAAAGAGGGACAGAAGTGCTTGGAGATACTGCGTTTCTTACACGTCGATTCCAAAACCATCTTCTCTGAGAAGGCAGTTTTGGTCTGCCGTTTGTCCAGTAGCGGTATCCCCAGCAAGTGTTGAAACGAGTTGGTTTGAAGTGAACAGTTCCTTTCCCTCGGCCCCCTCCTTACGCAATTTCTCCCGTCGCAGATTTCAGGTCAAGCTGCATCCCTTTCGCGCGCCTTTTGCGCGCTCGGGGCCCATCGCGCCGCTGTGGTGTCCTCGCATCCAGGCGCGGGTCCTGCCAGATTCGCTCACAGGCGCTACAGGCGCTCACGTCCTCCTCGTCATTCCCCCGTGCGACCTCCTCCTACGTACCTCCTCCTCCTCCTCCTGCTCCTCCTTCTCCCGCGCCCGATGAGGGGCAGATGGGAGGGGGCGAGGAGGCCCAGGAGGGGGGTTGTTGTATGAGTCCCCTTCTGATGCAAGCACCCCCTCTTCCCCCCGCCTCCTGCCTTCTCCTCTTCTCCGCTCCAAGATTCTGCTCGTGCCAGAGGCTGCCCAGGGGGGCATCTCCGAATCCATGGCAGACGCAAAGGGAAAGGCCATCACTGAAGATGTCATGGCAGATCTGAGGGGCCTTAAGATTTGGGAGAAGCTCCGGAAGGGGGAGCTGCACACCATTAGCAAGGAGAATGTTTCCGATTTCTTCAGGGCCTTGGACCAGAATGAGCATGGAGAAATCACAGTGGAAGAGTTGCGGTCTTTGCGGCTTATCCCTGACCTCCATCTCGGCGAAGACGACATCGAGGCGTTGGCCAGGGATGGCGACAAGGATGGGAGCGGGAAGCTCAGCCAGGAGGAGTTGTACAAGGCGCTTACACAGGGCGAGGTTGCTTTCAACATGGTTAAGAGGGCGAGAATGAAGACACAGTCGAAGGGAAATGTCTGCGATCGGGAGACCCTTGTCGATTGGATGCGGGACGAGTACGATACCATGAGTTCACTGTGTTCGCTTCCGGCGTCGATCGTCCTCTTTTTAGCATTTTTCGCAATGCTCGTGCTGCACTTGGATATCTCGTCCGCCTACGACACTCAGAACGGCCTTAAGGCAGAGATCTTAGGAGAAGGGTTTCCTCTTGCTGACACCAATCAGGTCCACGACATCATGAGTCTTTGGGGCTGGATGAACAGCTCTCTCGCGGACTGCATCTTCAAGAACGATCTCGTCGCCCACCCTTACCCAGGGCGAGTGGCTTCGTACAATCAGATCATCGGAGGAGTCAAACTACAGAGGACGAGTACAGCACCTGCCAGGTGTTATCAGAGCGAGCAGCTGTTATCCGTGTTCGATCCATCTCGTGGTGGTCTGTGCCACAAGATGACCGATGAGCAAACTGACGCACAGTACCTTTTGTATCAAGAGAAACGTTCCGATATTGTTGCTCAGATTAATGACCTTGCCGCGAGCGCGTGGCTGAGCCAGAACTCGACGAAGCTGGACGTCAGCATTCTCTTCCTGAATTTGCCCAAGAATGCATTTACTGCCTTTCATATGCTGTTCCATTTGGGAAACGACGGGTTTGTAAAAATTACGTTTGATATGGAGACTTTCCAGGCGGAGCCCTACAACAATCTGGCGCGAGCTATCCCCGACATTATCTTCATGGTCCTAATTATCAGGATGATTTATGAAATCGCCTGCAGCAGGCCCAGCCGCCGTGCCAGCGCAGCATCGCAGTGCATCCAGCATGCAAGCGCAAGAAGTCTGGAGAAGTCCCAGCATGGTCGTCCCACGGCTGTCGGAGGCTCCAGCGGGCCCCCAGGACGCCGTCGTGTGTGTGTGTGTGTGCGAAAGCTCTGCCGGATTCTCCCGAAGAGGTCCAGTATGACAGTCCTGGGGTAGCTTGGAAGGGTTCTCAGGACGTCTTGGGCCCGTGTCGAGCGTGTCGAGCGTGTGCTGCGGGGGTCGCGCGCGGTCGCAGAGCCGCCTTGGTTTGGTTCTGGACAGTCCCGGGGCAGTTTGGGACCTCCAGACGACCAAGCAGATCGCGTTTGGGCACGATCTTGGCTTCCTGCGCCTTTTGAGGATCGACCACAGTGAAAACAAAACATACCACTTCGCGAGGAAAACAGTTTCTTGAATATTAGGCCCCCTTGAATACGTACCGTGTTGGGGACTCGTTGGAGGCACCTTGGCGGCTTATTGATTACCTGGTGGGGGCTTCGGGGGGATTGTTCGGGATCTCTTAGGCTCTCTTGGGGCGGCTGGCTGAACTTGGTGTTTTGGTACCGTCGCGCGTCGCCGATGTGTGGTTTCCTTGGGTTGGCAGCCGGGAAACATCCTAACACGCCGCAGCGTGCAAAGGGGGCACAGTGGCGGATTCCGAGATGAAGGAATTGGTGCCAGCTTGTCTCAACGGATTTGACGGTTTCATTGATTATTTGGGGTTTTGGAATGTGATCGATTGGTTATCGATGATCATGGCCATCGTGGTTGCCACATTGTGGTTGTTGTTCTGTTTTTCTGTGTCTGGTGAGTTGCAGGACTCTATTACGCAGTTGCCAATGACAGAACTCAATGATCAGATAATTCAGAATGGGACATGGTTCAGCCCTGCAGAGATCGAGGCAGTCGTTCCTCGTGCCGAGCTGGAAGACCACATAGAGAAAGTCCAGGTGATCATGGAGTCGCTCAAGAACCAACACTATCTCATACGGCAGGTTCTTTTCTTCTATTCGTTCGTTTTATTGATGAAGTTCTTCAAGGCGTTCAGGGCAAATCCCCGGCTGAACATCGTGATTCAAACTATCACCAGTGCTTTCATCGACCTCATTCACTTCTTTTTGGTTTTCAGTCTAATATTCTGCGTGTTCTCAGGGTCTGCGCACATTATCTTCGGGGCTAACATGAAGCCTTTCAGCGACCAATGGTTATCGGCGATGATGTGTTTCCGAATTCTCATGGGCGAGTTTGACGTGGACGAGATGGTGGTAGCGGGGGGGCCATTGGCATGGGTGTGGTTCTTGGCGTTCCAGCTGCTGGTCTTTCTGATACTGCTGAATTTGCTGCTGGCTATCATTGTGGATTCGTATGCTGCGGCGAAGGCAAAATATGTAGATCCTATCACAATTTGGAGCCAGGTCAATAAGGCACGTAAGACGATGCGCGAAACGCGTGGTCATTTGGATTTGTGGTACCTCATTTGCGAGTTCGAGGACGACGAGTACCCTGCACATCCACAGCCGAAAGTCACATCCAAATCGTTACGTAAAGCTTTCGTGAGGGACAAGATGACCAAGGGCAACGCGGACTACTGCGTCCGAAAGTCGCTCGAGTACTTGAAGGAAAAGGAGGGCGAGCTGGACTTGACGATCACGGACGCGATCCGGGAGATCAGCAAGATCGGTGTGCAGACGCTGAAGATCGCAGACCAGACGGAGATTACGCTGGACATGATGAGAGAGGACCGCAAGAGGCCTCAGGAGGCCCGCTTGAAGGCCATTTGGGACGGCAGTGAAACCAACGATGTGGCCTCGCCTCAGGTGGCGCAGGGACAGAGTGCTGCGTTTGGCCACGTGCTGCCGTTGCCCTCGGGGTCACCGTCAATCATGCCCCTCGGAGCGTCGCGGGGTCAGCTGGCATTGCCAACCCGGGCTGGGAATTCCTCCCATATTGGCGCATTCGGCCACATGCCTGGCACCACTGAATATGCCACCAGCAGCCGCAACAGTCGTGATATAATACCGCCTTCTCGCGGTGGTGGTGAGCGTCAACCATTTGCCCGAAGTGCCAGCGGTGACCAGCCAGCAGCGGGTCCACCTGGTGGTCTCCAGGCTGCTGGTGAGTTGATGGCCATGATGCAGCACATGCAGGCGACGATGGACGCCATGCGCTCAGAGCTGTACGCTACGACGGGCAGTGTCACCCAGCAGCTTCAGGAGCAGCGGACCTTCACCGAAAGGAGGGAAGAGTGGCTCGACAATCGATTGAATCAGGTCGAGAGGCGCTGCGAGAAGGTTGAGAAGGCGAGCGACCGCCTGCACGGCGTCGTGAACAACTGGGATTTTGACGAGATGGTCAGCATCTCAGAATGCCCTGCTCCGTCTGGCAAGGTCGCACGCGGGGGCGCGAAGATGCCGCGCCCCTCGTGCCCCCGCGGCATGGACCCGAGAGCCGATCCCTCTTCAGGACGGCGGCGCGAGAGCGCGAAGCTGGCCCCGCGCTTTGCGTCCCGCGCGGAACGAAGCGCGAAGCTGGGCGGCTTGGGCCGATCGTGGCCCAGTCGGTCCGCGGGTCCGTCGGCCGATCGGGTTCGGGGTATTCGCTCGAGCTTTCGATCTTCGATGCGCTCCTCGGCGTGGATCGGCGTGAAGCAGTGGGGGGGGGCGCTGAGACCCATTCGCAGAGAAAGATTCTGGCTCACACCACGAAGCTGACGGACGTGCAGAAGAACACGACGGCAGCCAGAGTGAGGAGCCGTCCTCCCTCCTCCGTTGTCCTCCTCCCACCCCTCCATACCTCTTCGCTTCTCATCCTCACTCCGTCACTCCCTCCTCGCTCCTGCTCCCTCTTCCCTCCTCCTCTCTCTCCCTCCTCCTTGCTGGTCCCTGCTTCCTCCCCAGTCCCCCCCACAGCACCCCTACTTCCCCTGCCTTCGGACAGTTCTGCGATGCTGCGGTCCCGGGGCTCGAAAAGGCCAGCCAGGGTTCGAAACCGGTCCTCCGAGGTCGAAGATGACAGAACGAAAGATAACAGCATCAGGCCGCGCCCTGGGCCCCCCTCCTCCGCCCTTCTCGGGCTGAGCCACCCACCTCCCCCCCGCGAGCCCGCGAGGAGCCCGAGCCGGGCGACCGCGAGGGAGCCTGGCGCGAGCTCCCCCGTCTCCACGCCGCGCTCTGCGCCGAGCGCGCCGATGGCCTCGAGCCAGGCCCGGGAGGGGGGAGCTCACCGACGGTGCCAGCGACGGCGAAGGCGATCAGAGGAAGGGGTACCGATGCCGCCACACGTTCATGGTCGCCGCGGCTGGATTCGCCTCGGGATCCTGGTCAGGTCACCCTGGGGAGGTCCGTGGGGTTGGCGGTAGCGGTACCTCTTCGTCCCCCCGACGACGACGGAGACGCCGACGTTGACGACAACGGAGGTGCCGACGTCGACGACGACGACGACGACGACGACGACGACGACGAGGACAAGGACGACGACGACGAGGACGCCGAGGACGACGACGAGGACGACGACGAGGACGACGACGAGGACGACGACGAGGACGACGACGAGGACGACAACGAGGACGACGACGAAGGCGACAGCGACGACGACGGGCGCGAGCGAGGTCGACGGTGGTGACCACGACGAGGACGAAGACGGCGATGAGGAAAAAGAAGGATGCAGGCAGAAAATAAGTGCAACGAGGGATGGGGCAGCGCAAGTCCCAGCCTGACGTTTAATATCCCTCATCCTTGTCCTCCTCCTTCACTTTCTCCTCCTCCTTTTCCTCCTCTTCCTCCTCCTCAGTTGCATCCTTCTCATCACTCCTACATGGCCACCTCTCCATCCTTCCCTCCACATTCTCCTCCCCCACCTCTTCTGCCTGTCCGTGGGCATTTTGGCTCAATATGCTTTGTCTGGGAGGCCGCGACTCTCCAGGCCACAAGGACACCGCTGGACCGCGGCTGCCATCCTGATTGTTCGTCCTGATGCGCGCAGCCGTTGAGCTGGAAAGATGGTGGCATCGCCACGGGACGCTGTTGCAGGGAAGGGAATCAGTAAGGCCGTCTCCAGGGGAGAGTGGCCTTGCAAGGCCTGCGTGCATCGTGGGAATCCCTGGTGCAACCACGGGTCTGCTGTACGGCGCAGCATGTACGAATTCCTCGAGGGCGTCACCTCTTCGTGGCCAAGCAGAAGAGAGGCGCGCCTCCGTCCGCGTCAACCTAATGGAGCTCCAAGTGCGGACTGCGAATGCGGAGATCGAGAGGGTGCGGAACATCCTCTCCGCTGCAGCCGCTGGCCGTCTGTCATGTCGTTGATGACCGTGACGGTGTCGGCCCTGTCGTGGGTCAGCAGGGAGGTGGGTTTCCTGAAGGCATCAAATACGACCTGAGTGAGCTTCCCTTGGGGAGAGCAGCGCCGATCCAGGCCAATATTGGAACAGACGTGAAGAGCATGCGCATGGTTGCACTGCTGCTTCTCCCAATGGTGGTGCCACCATTGAGCTCTTCAGCACAAGACTTTCGAATGTCGGTCTGCTGGATAATTACCAGAGTCCTGGTGAACATGCAGGCGGGCAGCACCCCTGTATCAGAATATTGCAAGCTCGAGTGTCGGAGCGAGGTCTTGTCCAGCCATGTTGCGAACCAGACCTTCGAAATAGAGCTTGACCAGAGGCCAAGGTCGAGCCTCAGAAGCAAGAACTTTGGGAAGACGAGCGGCACTGCCGCAAGCTCCAAAGAGAGACCACAGAGTGAAATCACAGCATTGTCAGGGAAGGGGCCAGCTATCGCGCTCAGACAGCCTCTGATCTGGGTTCTCTGGGCCAAGTTGGAGGCCTCATGGTTGCCGTCCGCCAGCCTGCTTGCCTTGAGAACCTCCGGCCCGTGCTGCAAGATCACGGAGACCGCCAGCTTGGCCAAACACGGATTCCTAAATGCCAGGTCAACCCACATTGCATTTGAGAATGTCCAGGAGAAGTAGAGGCCCATGCAGACGGCCACATCGCATGCTTCTTTTTCGACGTGCCTAGTCGGTTCGCCGTCCAGGACTGGGGCTTTTGGCGACTCGTCTCCCGCGGTCGTGCTGGGCGGCCCGTGCAGGTGTGATTGCCATTTGGTTGTTTACCCAGGCCTAGCATTGGCGCCACGTCTTTGCGGGGCGGCCACGTAGTTTCAGCATTTGTTGTGGGATCCATCTGCTGCTACATGCGTACCAACAAAAGTCCGTGGGCTTTGAAGTAGGTGTTCGACGCTACCGTCGCCACGGATGCGCGTTGAACGCTGCCGCCGAAAGTCCAACCGTTGCGAGTGCCACGCGGTCTGCGGGCCTTCCCTTGCTGGTGCCCAATGATGCTTCCCTGCTCCCTCCCCCCTCTGTGGCTCGACATGGCTTCGGTGGGCAACGCCCCTCGGCCCCATCACTCACCCTCCGTTCCCTTGCCATCATCTCAATCCTGATCCCCCCTCTCATCCGCCAATGTTTCCTCTTTCTTCCTCCCAAGCATCTCCTCCTGTTTCCTGATGGTTGAACAGAACTTAGTTCGACTTGCCGCCTGCATGTGTCCGCGCTGCGGGCATTCGCTGCAGACGCCCATGCATCGCATCTAGGAGTGTGAGGCCAGCAGCGGGTCCAAAACCTACGACCTCAGCGCTCCCCTCACCGCGTGGGCGTAAGCTGAAGTCACGGCCTTCCCTTGGTTCTGGCTTCGCGGCATGCTGCCTGCTGCTTGGACGCGCGTGCCCGAGTCCCCCGATCTGGCCTACTGGACTTTCATCGGCGATGCATCGGGCGAGCCTCGCCTGGGCACTGGCACGGCGGGGGCTCCCCTGGCGCTCTTTGGCGACGCCAGCGGCGGCGCCCACTCCAAGTCGCCGCGCCTCAGGCGAGTGGGAGTCGCTGTTTGCAGCACCGACCTCGAGGTGCTCGAGGTCGCGCACGCCGTCTTCGGCCATCTCGCTGGACGCCGCCAGACGGTACACCGCGGGGAGCTGCAAGCGATGGCGCTGGCGGCTGCGCATTCGCATGGGCACCACGGTTCTCTTCACCGATAACCTTGCGGTTTGCGAGGGTTGGTGGAAGCGGTGCGACCAGCACCCCGAGGGCCTGGACGCCGACCTTTGGCACGAGCTCGGCGTCATCTTCAGTCACCGCCATGGGAGCGACTTCACGGTGGAGCACGTGAGCTCGCACCTCACCGTCGAGGAGGCGCTGGAGCGCGATGTGCCGCTCGCCGTGGTGCGGGGCAACACGATGGCGGACGCGCTGGCGGGACACGCTGCTGAGCTGGCGCGAGTGGCCCCCGAGGTCCGCCAGCATGTCGAGGCCGCCGAGCACCTCCCCTCCTTGGTGCGCTGGAGGCTCCTGCGCGCCACCCTTGACGCGTCGGCCGCCCCTTCCGCTGCTGGTCGCCCGACCTGCCGCGCGCGGGCCCCCGCGCGCCGCGCGCCTCCCGCGCCGAGCTTGGTCGCGGCCTTCAGCTCCTCCCACTCGCTGCACGAGGTCGGGAGGAGCTGCGCGCGATGCCGTTCTTCGGCGGGGCACGCCAGTCGAGTGCCATGGCTGCGCACCCCGTGCTGCGAGCTCGAGACGATCGGCGACGGCTGGGCGCAGTTGGCCACGCGGCCTTCTGGCGGGGCGATGCAGCTGCACGTCGGCGTTAGCGCTGTCCACGCGTCCCACCAGATGCAGCTGCTGGTGGCCCAGGACGTGTGGGCCTGCCGCCGCTGCGAATGCTTCGCCTGGCCTGGGCTTCGCGCGCTGGGCCGAGGCCTCTCGACGCTGGGCGGGCCGCCCACGGCCACAGGGTCGGAGTACCTCAGGAGACTGGCACGAGGACTCTGGCCCAAGGCGGGGTCTGCGAGCTCGCAGACCCAGGGCGTCGACGACTGCGGCCCCGAGCCCGACGCCGAACCTGACGCCGAGCTGGAGGACCTGGAGGTATTGGAGGTTCCACGGAAGAAGGGGCTTCGGGCCGCACGCTCGGCTGCCTCCGCGGCTGCCTTCGAGCGGAGAACTGACCACTCAGAGTCCCCGCCAGCGGCGGCCGCGGCCGCGGAGGCCGCAAGCTCCGCAGGCCGCGTCGGCGAGGGCGAGGCCGAACGCGCGGCGGCCTCCATGGCGGCCTCCGAGCTCCCGCCAGCGGCGGCCGCGGCCGCGGGGGCCGCCAGCTCCGCAGGCCGCGCCGGCGAGGCCGAGGGGGATCCGAAGGCCGCAGCCGCCGACGTGGCTTCGCGGCCGCCGTGGCGCGCCGCCGATTGCGCGGGGCGCCGCCTCGCCGCTGCGCTGCTGCGCCGCGGCCGCCGCAGTCCCCGCATCCGACTCGGGTCGCCTTGACCTTCGGCGAGCTCGTTCGGCGGGTGTCAGGACCACCGCCCGCCCGCCGCAGGCACCGCCGCTGAGGCGGTCAGGCCATGGGGCCCGAGGGGCGGGCCGTTGGCCAGGCCGCTGGCCGTGGTGTCCCACCACGGGCCGAGGGCGAAACCCACCACGCCCCCCTGTCGGTGGGGCCCTTGGCCCAGCGCCGCGCGCTGCGCGCCGCTTCGCCCGCGGGCGCCCCGCGGGCGGCTGATGGCGACGGGAGTGGTCGATGCACTCGCTCGCCTCTCGGTCTGCTCTCACTCACCCTCTCCTTTTCCTTGTCATGATCCTTTCCCCCTGCTCCTCCCCTCCTCCTCCTCCTCCTCCTCCTCCTCCTCCTCCTCCTCCTCCTCCTCCTCCTCCTCCTCCTCCTCCTCCTCTTCGTCTCTCCCCCCTCGCTCCTCCCCTAGGCACTTGGCAGTTCGCAGCTGAGCAGTGAGCTGGAGGAGCGCATGAAGGGCATCAATGCCCAGCTCGAGAGGACGCCAATCAGCCCCTGCGAGGAGGAGGATACAGTGGATGATAGGGGAGAGGAGGAGGAGGAGGAGGAGGAGGAGGAGGAGGAGGAGGAGGAGGAGGAGGAGGAGGAGGAGGAGGAGGCGGAGGCGGAGGCGGAGGCGGAGGCGGAGGCGGAGGAGGAGGAGGAGGAGGAGGAGGAGGAGGAGGAGGAGGAGGAGGAGGACATGGCCCATGGCCTGAATATTCTCTCTTTCCTGCTGCTGATCCTCCTTATTATCCTCTTCCTCCTTTTTCTTGGCGGGGAGAACGACGTCCGAACATGAGGAAAGTAGGACGAGCAGGAGGGTGAGGAGAAGGATGGGGAATGGGCGAAGGAAGGGTCAGAGGTGGGGGCGGAGCGTGAGGATGTGGCAAAATGGGTGAGGTGGAGGAGGGGTTAATGAGGAGAAGGAGGGTGAGGACGGGGGAGGGGAATGAGCTTGTAAGTATAGGGGAGGCAGAGGGATGAGGAGGGGAAGGAAGGGGTAAGGAGACGGAGAAGGACTAGTGCACATCCAAGACTCATCACCGATGTTGGGATACACCCGCCCTCCAAGCTCCCTCTTAACAGGCCCCATGCAAATATTCACTGAGAGGTGCTCCGTTGGGAGACAACCGTGTGAAAATCTTGTAGCGTGCCAAAGTACCATTCTCAGGATTTCAACGCCACGAGTCAACCTGACTGTTGCGTTTTGACGATCCGGAATCGTGCCAGTATTCCGTTCTTGGGGTGGGACTTTCAACACCGCGAATCAACATGGCTGTTGCGCCCAAACACTCCGGGGATCGTTCGAAAACACAGTTTCTGGAAAGTTAACCATGAGAATCCGCGAAGTTCTTGCACCTGTTCGAATCGAAGCTGCTTGGCGCTCAGGCGAGAGCCCCATTTTGAAAAGGAGGCGCCGTCATTCCATGACACTCTTGCAATTGTTTTGAACGACTGTGCGCGGTTCTAAGAAGAGAGCCACAGTTTGAAAACGAACCGCCCTTAATTCTTGATGCCCCTGCAATTCTAAAACACAATAGCGCGCGGCGCTAAGACGAGAGCCACATGTTTAAAACCATCCACCCTCAATCCGAGAAGCTTTTGCGTTTTTGCAGGACGAGTGTACGCGGCGCCAAGGCGAGAGCCACATTTTGGAAGCCACCAGCCCTCCATCTGCAAAATTGTTGCCCGGTGTCAAACATCAGGCTCATAAATGGACGGGTAGTTTTTGGCGAAACGTCTGGACCGCCTTTCCGAGTGGTCTCGGGGTACGGCAGGGAATAGCTGTTCACAAGAAGAGGAACAGAAGAGGAGGAGGAGTCTGGCCCGCGCGCTGGCCGGCTCTGCAGGGAGCCGCTCTGCAGGAAGGGGCACCACGCTTTCCGATGCTCCTGCGGCGGGGGCGTCCAGGCCCGCAGCAAGGCCGTGGAGGACGTGTGGGAGCGCATTCATGCCGAATGTGGCTTCCACACTGCCCGCGGGGTCTACGTCTCCGCGTGGGACCGCTGGGCCTGGCGTTGCGCTGGTTGCGACACGAGCGGCAAGGCCTACGGACTGCTTGGGCCCTGCGGCGCCTGCGTGCAGCCGAGGGCCACCCAGCTGGATGAAGCGATCTTCGACATCGAGGCGCAGCAGGCTGGGCGTCCACGGCTGTTCCTGGGCGTCACGGTGCGGTACGCCGTTCCAGGGGACATGGACGGGTTGGCCGCTGCGGCCAGCCGCGACGGCGACGTCATCGCGGCCGCGAAAGCAGACAGGCGGCGCCGCTACCCTGAGGCGCGGGCTGGGCCGGGCGCAGCGCGCCAGACAGGCGCGCGGCTGGGCCGGGCGGCGCTGCGCCACCTGCGGGAGCTGGCGCGCGACCTCGCCGAGCACGAGGACGAGGAGCGGGCCCCGGCGCTGGCGAGCGCTCTGGCGCAGCGCTGTAGCGCCCAGCCGAGCGCGGCACTCCACGCCGCCGCCGCCCGCCAGCTGCGCGGCGCGCTGGGCACGGAGAAGACGTAGGCGGCGCGCGCCGCCCTGGCCGAGGCCCATCCGGGCTGGCCGGGCGCCGGTGGTGGACGTCGGCTACAAGTTCTTGTCGTTAGTGGAGGACGTCTGGGTGGGCAGGTAGGTTTTGCGGCGTCTCGACTTCTGTTGATGCCCGAGGAGGAGGAGGAGGAGGAGGAGGAGGAGGAGGAGGAGAAGGAGCAGGAGGAGGAGGAGGAGGAGGAGGAAGAGCAGGAAGAAGAGGAGGAGGAGAAGGGGAGTACGACACAGGGGAATGTGAGGAGGAGGAGGATCGACGCCCGCAGCGATAGGCTGCTAGAGCACGCGGAGGACGCCACGGAGTCCCGGAAGCTCTTGTGGCGCATCGAGCTCAATATCAAGCAGCTCCGCGGCCAGGCTTGAGTTCGTCGTTTCCATCATCGTCACCCTCGTCCTTGCCGTCTTCGTCCTCGTCGTTTTCCCTTCGCGCGCTCCCCTTCCCGCGCTGCACCCTCGCCTCCTGCGGCCTGTCCCGCTGCCCGGCGCCGCTGGCGCTGAGTGCTCACTCATCGCCCTTGCCCCTCGATGGGACTGATCGGATCCTCCTCAGGGCGACGACTGCTATACGGATCCACCGCCCCTGGCCCGGCCCTCCTGGGCCCAGGATCGGCGCACGTGGTCCCCTGGCCAAGCAGGGGGGGGGGTGTACACCGCTCCTGGTGCATCTCGCCCTCCTGCCCTCCTCCTTCCTGCCTGTCCCCGCTCGCCCCCGACGGCCAAGGGAGGAGGAAGAGGACGGCCTCCAGCGGCGGGGGCGGCGGGTCCCGCAGCCAGGAGCTGGTGCTCGGACATCCTCGCCGCCTCCGCCTTGTTCCATCGCAGATCGTTATCGTTAGGTCTCCGTCGTCGCCGAACGTCGTAGGTCTCGGGCGTCGTCGATGTGGTCGTCGTAGACGGCACGGCCACCGTCATCGCCGAACGGGGCGCGAACACCCCCATCCGGCGAGCAGACCCCGACCGTGATCGTCGTCACGACGTTCCCTGCTCCTCCTCTTCCCTTCTTCTCCTCCCTCGTCCTTCCCTTCATCATTCGCCTTCATACTTCGCGGCCACTGCTTAACTTCCCCACTCCGTCCCCTCCTCTCCCCGCTCCTCCACGTTCGCCCCATTTTCCTCCTCCAGGTTCCCCTTCTCCTCCGCCTCCTCCTTCGCGCCGATCCCTCCTCCGCACCCCTTCGCGGTCGCGCCGAGGCCGTGCAGGGCCTACGGAGCCACTGGGATGTCAGTCCTCGAAGGTTGGGTTGTCTGGCGCGGAGGGTGGACCACGGCGGGGGTTCCGTGCCGCACGCTCGCTTGGCCGACGCAGGGCCTTGCAACCCCCTATCCTGTCGTGTTGCTGGTCTCCAGCCTCGGTCGCCCGAGGTGTCCAGTCCAAACCCTCCTCGTCGCCGCGGGGAGAGGAGCAGGATGAGGAGGATGAGCAGCTGCAGGAGCAGGAGGAGCAGCAGCAGTAGGAGGTGCAGGAGGAATAGGGCGAGGGTGGAAAAGGAGGGGGTTTAAGATGAGCAAGCGAAGCAGAACCTCACTGCCGCCCTCGCCGTCGCCCTCGTGAGCCAGGGTTCGGTGCTGTGAGCGACCCTCCCCCCCCTCCCAGCGACGACGCTCTCCGCAACGCGCGGCCCGAGGGGCCTCGGAGTCACCCTCGCGGGGCCTCTCGGCCCCGAGGACGCGGCCCGCGGCCAGCCCGCGCCGCGATGGCGGAGTTCATCGGCGCAGTGGTCGACCAGCACGGGGGCGAGGACGTGCAGTTGGTCCCGAGGCCGTCCTCGCCGCCGAGAGTCTTCGCCGCCCGCCGTCCGCCTCGCGTTCCTCCTCATCCTCCCCCTCCTTCTCCTCCTTCTCCTCCTCCTGCTCGTGCTCCTCTTCCTGCTTGTGTTCCTCCTCTCCTCCTCCTCCTCCTCCTCCTCCTCCTCCTCCTCCTCCTCCTCCTCCTCCTCCTCCCCCTCCTCCTCCTCCTCTTCCTCCTCCTCCTCTCCACCTCCTCTTCCTCATCCTCTTTCTCGTCTCATTCCTCCTCCTTCCGTAGCCGTTTTGGCTCAAACCATGTTGGTTGAATCGATGTTGGTTCCAGTACCACATATCTCAAGGTGGCTTAGAGAGCTGTCCGCGCATGGGCCACAGATGACTTGCCCATCTCAGGCCTGCGCATCGATTTTAGCACATACATACCATGTACCACTTTGCAGGCTCGATACCGTTGCTGTTCCGTGCTAGCACGGGCGGCAACTGCAGACATCAGAGACCATTCTTCGTTGGCCGCGATTGGAGTGGACAGCTGCGACAGGCCTAGTGGACGTGCGGCTTGGGCCACGTCGCAACCTTTTACACAGCACCCACACTCGAGAGCCAGGCTTGAATCTATGTTAACTCGGAGCGTGCCTATACCATTAAATCTTGATTTAAGAGTGCTGGGGGCAGGCGGGGGTAGAGCGACAACCCTAATGAAAAGAGGCCCCACAGAATATCCGACGCAGCAGCGGGAGGAGACACACCCACAGGACAGCGAGCGGCTCGAGAGGAGGGGGCACCCTCCGAAAGTATCTGTTCGCAGCGGCGGGGCCCCGTGTGAGGCCCGAAACTTAAAAGGCCGAGAGGTTCCTGACCGTGCCTCGGCCCACGGTCGGGCCAACAAGCCTCGCGGCGAAACCCCCAGAGCCCATACAAGCCCAAGGGGGGGCAGGGTTGGGAGCCGAAACTTTGCGCCAGGAGAGGAGGGTCAAGCACGAGAGAGAAAGCGCTAGCCCTTCTCCTAAATTACAGTTGAGGCGGCTATCTGAACGTTTAAAGGGGGTGTGTAAAAGTGTGTTTAAAAACGCGTATTTACACAGCACCCACACTCGAGAGCCAGGCTTGAATCTATGTTAACTCGGAGCGTGCCTATACCATTAAATCTTGATTTAAGAGTGCTGGGGGCAGGCGGGGGTAGAGCGACAACCCTAATGAAAAGAGGCCCCACAGAATATCCGACGCAGCAGCGGGAGGAGACACACCCACAGGACAGCGAGCGGCTCGAGAGGAGGGGGCACCCTCCGAAAGTATCTGTTCGCAGCGGCGGGGCCCCGTGTGAGGCCCGAAACTTAAAAGGCCGAGAGGTTCCTGACCGTGCCTCGGCCCACGGTCGGGCCAACAAGCCTCGCGGCGAAACCCCCAGTCCCGTCATCACTAGACTGGCACTAGTGCCTTCATGCTTCCAGCCACTGCTAGACACGAGCGCGGCACACATTCGGGAGGGGGGGAAAGGGAGATAATTTGTGTCGCTCTCACCCACCAAAAAACCTGCTTTATATTTTCCCCATATCTATCAAGTGTTCAAGGAAGACAAGTGGAGGACAGGGTGCACGCGCCCAACTCTCGAGGCTCCTGCATTCATATCAAAAGATATAGCACCCGCGAATGGCGGGGGCCTAAAATGAGGGTGGGGGCTGCGGCAGCCTGCTCATTGCCGTCTAGCCCTGCTGCGGCCAGCCGTAGACGGGCGGCTGGTGGGCTCCGCGCCCCCGTCCGCCATGCTCTCCAGCTGCGGCAGCACGACCTCGTCGTTCTTGGCTGCCTCGAGCTCGTGCACCATGTCCCGCGCCAGCGGGGCCAGCACGGCGTCGGAGCGGTAGATGGCCTCTGCGATCTGCTGGGCCGGCCTGCGCCAGAAGGCCCGCCCCCGCTCAAGCTGCTCGGGGGTGAGCCGGCTCCGCTGCTCGATCAGCACGTGCACCTTCGTGTAGCGCTGAAGGGCCGACGTGGTCTGCCAGCGGCCCTTCCGGCGCGCCGCCTCCAGCGAACCGCCCGCGGCGATGTAGGCCGCCGCACCCGCGTGCCTCAGCGAGTGCGGGGGCCCGAAGTCCGCCAGGCCCGCCCTGTCGAAAGCCAGCCTCCACGCCTTCCTGTACTTGTCCTGTGAGAGCGGGAAGAGGAGGTCCCGTGGCGCCGCGCCCTTGCCGATCGCCCGCAGGATGGCCTTCGTCACCTGCCACGAGACCACGACGCCCTGGTTCGCTCCCGTCTTCACCTTCTCGCCCCGCTCCCTGCGGCCCAAGGTGAGCCCGACCTCCCCGTCGGGCCCCACCGCCACGTCCGTCTTCCTGAGGAGGCCCCAGTCCTGCTCCCTCAGCCAGCCGTCAAGCTGCAGCAGCACCGCGGCCCCCTCGCACAGCTGGCCGTGCTCAAAGAGGTCGTAGAGCACGCACCCCACGGCTTCGAACGGCACCGGCGCCCCTTCCTTCTGGAAGCCCATCCTGGACCAGGACTTCAGCGCCCTGGCAGCGACGGGGAGCCGATTGCGGTGATCCTCGAAGATGTGCATGAAGCCATTGAACAACGCAGACGCCCTGCCGAAGGGTAACTGCATCACGTAGCACATGTCCGATATGTACCCGCCAAGCGCCGCATCCCTTTCCTCGTAAGTGGAGAAGGAAAGCCCGTGCCGCTTCACGTCCAGGAGAAAGGTCCTCACCTCCTTCTCGTAGATCTGATTCGTGGCGTCGTCCACGGCGTGCACCACGAGCCTCACATTGTGATGCAGCCTGTCGCTCGGTGCCTGCTCCCAGGCCCGAGCGCCCCTCTTAGCCAGAGGGGGGGGCTTCGCCGAGGTCGTGGCGGGGCCGTCCGCTCCACGCCGAAGCATCGCCTCGCACAGCCTCAGCCCACTCATTGCCATCACAAATGCGAAGCTCCAGGCGGTCCTCGTCGGGCCCGATCTTGCAGCCGTTGAAGTAGCTCCCTCGGCACTCCACGGCCCACGTGGCCCGCCACCGTGTCCTCCGCCGCGCCTATGCCTTGACCTCTCGAGGGGCCGTCTGCCAGGTTGAGCTCGCTCGGCACCCACCTGAAGTACCCGCGGATCCTGCAGACCATCTGGATGATGCCGCCGATCCTCGCCAGGTGCAAGAGGTCCCTGGCAGACGAGCGCCCTTTCTCCAGGACGCCTAAGCTCACCAACGAGTCGGTGAAGAAAAGCACGCGGTGATTCCAGCTCTGGGACGTGCGACTGAGGTGTCGGAGCACCGCCACCACCGCACGCAACTCCAGGACGTTGTTGTGCTCGGCGTGAGACCATCGTCCCTGAAACAGCACGTGCCACTTCCTCTCCAGCCAATGGCCCAGCAAAGGCAGGGCTGGGCCAGTCGCTCGCACGACGCGCCCGCGGTCCCCCTGCAGGCGAAGCCGGGCCCCCGCTGGTATCGAGTCCCAGTGCGGCTCGAGCTCCTGCAGAGTGGACGCGTATGCCCTGCACAACTCCAGCGGGTAAGCACAGGCCACCTGAGTCCACCGTAGCCCACCTGGTGATCGTCCTCGTAGTTCTCGGTGAGCTCGGCCAGTCCGACTGCGTCGGCTCGAGGGGCACAAGCACACCCGCTGTAGCGTCGCCATCTTCTTCACGTTGGTGATGAACGTAGTTGGCTTCCTCCATTCTTCGCCATACATGCAGTAATCCACCTCCACACGGAAAACCCCCTCGAGATCCAAGAGCGCGGTCATTGGCGCGAACGCCCATATCATGCTGGTCCTGGGGTTCTCGAGGGTGAATCCAACGCCACGGCGTAGGCAGATCTTGACCACCTCTACTGCTATCAAAGCCAAAGCGTTCCCTTCGTCGATCTTGGCCTGGTCCGTCTCCGTGCAGTCCGGCAGCCCCCATGGGTGATCGCTCGACCTCAGCGGCGGCTGCCTTGCTCTCGAAAACGTCGCGCACGGGGGGGCAACATGCACCCACCAGAACCAGCCAGTCCTCAATCTCCGTAACAGCAGCTCCAAGTTCTCTGTGACCAGTACGTCGAACTCCATGCCCCGCTGGATGTCCCAGGCCTCGCCCCACGAGTCGGTCAGCTCCCTGATCGCCTCCAGCAAGCGAGAGCTCCCAGCGAAGAGCTCCAACACCCCGGGTCGCCCCATGGTGGGAGCGACCGGGAGGTCCTCCTCCTCGCCGATCGCCTCCTGCGCCCGCTCGATCTCGGTGTAGCTCTGCTCGGCCAAGGGCCCCCAAGCTCCCCCATCTCCTCGGGCAGCTTCCCGTCGGACGTCCTCCTCCGTGCAGTCGCAAGCCAGGGCGCCGAAGCCCTCGTTGGACGCATCCGTCATATATGCTCTCGGCCACCAGCCCATCTCCAGGTTCGACTCCATGTAGACCGAGAGGGACGCGACGGCCCTCAACTCGCTCCTGACCTCCTCGGGCAAGCGGTGCGGCACAACACTCTCCTCCTCGGTGAACTCCCTCAGCCACCTGTAGGTCGCGTCCAGGATCGCAAACGAGGGGCGGAAGACCATCATGGTCCAGGTCCAGTGCCCGACCAGAGAAGCCACCGCCGAAGGTCTGAGAGCCACTTCCAACACCGCCGCCTCGGTAGCCAGCACGACCTGCTCCATCTTCTTCGGCTGGATCCTCAGCGTGTAGGGTCTCGTGGCGGCAATGCACAGACCCAGGCCGTTCTCCATCCCTTCTCCCCAGGCCTCCTTGTGCACCGCGAGCCCCTTGCCGTTCAGACGCTCCTTGATCATCTCCTTGTCCTCCAGGATCTTCAGCTCGCCGTCCTCGCCCTCGAGGGTGAAGCCGATGTAGTCGTCGATGTACAACATCAGCAGGAACCTGATCGCCTCCTCCTCCGATAGGCCAAACGACGGGGTGGGCTTGCCGTAAGTCAAGCTGGGGGCCTTCGGGGACTCGAAGCTCGCCTCCAGGCAGCTGTGGGCCAAGAACACCGCCCACGCCGAGCCCATGACTAAGCTCGAAGCCCCAATACCAATGTCCTCCTCGCGCGGCTTCGGCAA